ATTAGCATGATAATAGTTTTTAGGAAATTTATAATTGTAGGTAAAATTGTTGTTTGTTATCTAAGTGGTAGATGGGGATAAGCATGACGAGCTTTGATTGGAGTAGATTGAAAAAAGTGGGATAGGCATGTAGGAATTTTTGAGGGAGAAAAGATAATCAGTTGTTTTCCAAGGGTGCAAGGCGAACAGTCGTTCTCTGGTGGTTCCCCAGAGGTATGAAGCAGTAGAAGTGAATGTTTGTGAGTTTTCGTGGAGTAAGTGTATCTGACAGAAGCTGATCCAGTAAAATATTGTAAGTTATATTTTACTCTTATATCTTAAAAGTCACTGTTCAGGCCAGAACGAGAGATTCAGTTTATCGAGAGGAGAAGATTGCTGATTACCTAGGGGACTGCTAAGAATAGATAGTGTAGTCTACAAGGAACAAGGATTTGGACAACTCATCATCAGAGAGATAGTTTTACTAGTCGGTAGTTTTTCTTTATTAACAACACAATTGTTTAACAATTGCTTTAAAAAAGATAGGAATATTTTGATCAGGAGATTTAGAACAACAATTTTGATTTGAAATTTTAATTTATATTGTATATATCATTAATTTTTGAAGGTTCACGTATGTAGAACAAAATTTTTATAATCATTATATGAGATATTTTTTATTGAAGATCATCATCATCATCATCCAGCCTCTATATATCACGTCCACTGCTGGACATAGGCCTCCCTTAAACTCCTCCATTCCTCACGATTTTGTGCTCTTTGTTTGTCTGCTCTTGGCCTCCAATTTGTAATTTTGCTCGTCCATCGTGAATCGTGCATTCTCGCTACATGGCCTGCCCAGTTCCATTTTAGTTCCGCTATGCGTTCCACAACATCAGTAATACTCGTCCTTCTTCGCAGATCTTCGTTTCTTATTCGGTCCCTCAACGTCACTCCCAGCATAGACCGTTCCATTCGTCTCTGTGCCACTCTCAGTTTCGAAGCCGTGGTCTTGGTTAAAGTCATAGTTTCCGCCCCATAGGTCATGACCGGTAATACGCATTGGTCAAACACTTTTCTTTTGAGGCTGATTGGTATGTTGGCCCTAAGTGTGTCTCGCAGTTTTCCAAAGGCTGCCCATGTTAAAGTAATTCGTCTTTGGATCTCACATGTTTGGTTATCCCTGCTGATTCTTATTTCATGACCCAAATACGTATATTTCTCCACCAGTTCTACCACTTTGTCTTGAATAGTCAAATGGTTATTGGGGACCAAATTTGTCATAAACTTAGTTTTGGTCAAGTTCATTCTCAGGCCCACCTTCGAACATGCAAAATCCAATTCGTTTAACATATCTGTAGCTTCTCCTAAATTATCTGTGATAAGGACAATGTCATCTGCGAAACGGGGATGGTTAAGCTTTTCGCCGTCTATCGTTACTCCTCTGTGGTCTCAATTAATCATCTTAAAGGCATATTCTAATGCCGTTATGAATAATTTCGGCGACAATGTATCTCCTTACCTTATACCACGATTTATTTTTATTGGTCGGGTTTTATTGTCTATTTTAACAGTCATAGTGGCATTTTTGTAAATATTATAAATGATTGAGAGATTGAAAAATTGAAGATATTTGAGTGTAAATTTTATTTCAATATATAATATTGTATCATATATGTTTTTTTTATTATTCTGGTATTCTTTGGACCTTACGTATCATATGTAAAGCATAGATATTGAAACACGAGTATAACCCTGAAATAAGAAAATTAAATAGTGTGATAGAATCATAATTGCATCATTGAAATAAGTTTAATTGATTAATTAATTAGCTAATTAATTGCTTGGCGCACCTCAGACTTTTAATATTACATTAACTGGGTTCCAAAACGTAGGGCTTGAAAATATCGCAGCTTTACATTTGATGGTAGGGAAAGAGATCCGGAATAAATACAGGTGATCCAGAGATTAAAAAAATAACATTGAGGGAATTTGAATTTGAAAGTATTTTGACAATTTTTCCAGTGGATAAAAATTTGATTTATTGAGTGATCGTAGTTAGTTGATATTTACTGCTATTGAATTATTTGATTTTTATTTTCTTTACCAATCGTACATTTGATATTTATTTTGAATTATTTGAATTTTACTGTTTGCATATTTGATATTTGTCATGAAAATTTATTAAAATTAAGGAGAAATATTTGTCGTGTTCTGCAACATATAGAGTGTTATAAAATTTCACATTTGGCGGGGACAAAAACAGTAACGAAAATAAACAACATGTCGACCACAAGGAGTCAAAGCAAAATGCAAGAAAGGAAGGAGGATAACAGAGAAGAGGAAGCAATTGTCGAAGAAGGATCGGATAATGAAAGAAATACTACAATAATGGAGGAAAGAAAAGAAACGGGGATGTTAGAAAAATTATTAGCAATGATGCAAATATAGACACAACAAATACAAGAACCATCACAAACAATAAATGAAACACATCAAAGAAAATGGATAGAAATCAACA